CAAATATCGAATGTGATTACAAATCTGGTGCCGATTCGTTGATGTTTTGGGCTGCAGAAGGCCTGTCGTCTTGAGGAAATCGTCGTTTTTGAAGAAGTATCAGGCGGGATCCCCGTTTCTGCTTTGAGAAGGCGATGTTAAAAGCAGGGCCAGCGGGTACTCTCCATCAACCCAGCCTCTTGGGGAGCTTTCCGGGAAGCCCAGGCGGCTGGACAGGGAGCCGCGACTCCAGACCGCCCAAGACCTCTTGAAGACGGTCCACTGACCCTCCAAGAAACCCGGCGCAGTACCGTGACATGCAGTACGGTGTTGTTCTGTGCCGCTGTGCGATGCCACGCTTTGCGTTGCCATGCTTTGTGATGCAATGCTTAAGTATCCAATGCCACGCCATGCTAAGACATGCTACGCTCTGCCGTGCTCCCCTACGCCATGCTATGCCGTGCTCTACAATGCATCGCGTGCCCTCTCGGACCATTGCTCTGCTCGATATCCTACTGTGCGCATCGGGAGGATATCTACGGCATAGTAAGGCATGGGAGGGAGTAGGACCTCAGATATGACGCTAGCGCACCTGACTTGGCCCCTCCCCCATACCCCTCCTCCTCCTCGCCTCCCTCCTCCACCTCCACCCCGTCCTGCTACTTCTGTCGTTGCACGCACTCTAGCTAGATGAACTCACTTAGCGGTGTGTAGTGGCCTAAGTTACAAAGCTAACCATGCCACGGTAGTCCCACCAGCCTGCTGGGCGTAGGTGGTCTGGGGCGGTTTCTCTTCCAACCCTCTTCTTCCCCTTCGGGGAGGGGTTCACCCCTCCCCCATACCTCTCCCCTGGACCTGGGCCGGGCGCCCCGCGAGGCGTTGGAGCGTCCAAGATGGCCCAAGACGGCTCCAAGAGGGCCTCGGAGAATCCAAGATGGCCTCCAAAATGGCTCAAGGTGCCTCGAAATGGCTCCCAATGTGATCCAAGAAGCGTCAGGACCGCTCCAAGAAGTGTCCAAGTGGCCCGAGAGGGTGCCCCCAAAAGGGTGCCCCCAAGAGGCCTTTACCCCTCTAAAGCCTTAGGAACTGAATGTGTGTTGATGTCTCGCCGTTTCGCTTCCGATGGCCTTCCGAGGCCTCAAGATGGTTCCAAGATGGCCGACGAGGGCCCCAAGAGGAGCCCAAGAGAGCCTCAAGACGGCCCTCAGAGCACCTGTGAGCGCTCCAGGAAAGCCTCAAGAGCGCTTCAAGAGGCGATTGCAAACACTCCAAAGGGCAAGGCTAAGTAAAACGCCCCTCATATTGTATCGCTGGCGTCCAAGATGGCTCCAAGAGCGCCACTAAAGCTCCCAAGAGCGTCCCAAGAGGACCCCAAGATGCGCCCAGACGGCCCCAAGAGGCGCCCAAAAGGCCCCCAAACGGCTCCCAAGAGAACCCCACGAGGCCTCACGAGGATCCCCGAGGCACCCAAAAGACTCGAAAACGGCCCCGGGCTTGACAAAACGCCCCCAGACACCCAGAAGGGCATTCAACAAACTTCCAAACGACATCCGAGAAGACTCCGAAAGGCAGTCAAGATGTTTCTGGTTTCTGGCTTTCTGTTCGCCATTGTCCTCCTCCTCCTCCTTTTCCGCCTCCTCCTCCTGCTCCTCTCCATCCGCAAAGTCATAATCCTTCTCCTTCCGCCATCATCCATAGACTTCATCGTCCTCCTCGTCCCCCTCCTATTCCTTCTCCTCCTCCCCCCTCGAACGGCAACGACTGTCTTTCATGTTGTTCCTACGCCTTCTTGATCGTCTCAACTCGCCTGGGCTTCAGTTTTGGACAGGGGGGAACTACTTTCTTGGTCTGCGGGCTCGCGAAGCAATTCGAAAGCCGTCCGATCACTAGCCGGGCCGCGACTAGGCAGCAGGAAAAGAGAGGACGAAAAGAGAGGGGGGCAAGCGAAGCCAGAGCGCGGGCAACCACTCAGAAGGAGGACCAGGAGCGGCGCTCCCAACCCGGTGGCGTGGAAATCCCGGTGGCGACCATCAAGTAGGCGCAGCCAAAGTGGCGCGGCGGCGCGACCATGAACACGCAGAGGTCGATCACCCCGTGTGAGTCGGCATAAAGCCCGTCAAAAACGAACATGTCCGACAGGCACTCCAGGACGACATCCGTGCCGTAGGTTACACATGAGCATCGCGTCGGCGCCAGAGTGAAGAGGGGGCAGCCTCGTCACAGACAGACTGCAAACGGCAGATTCTCTTGGATGTACACCCGGTGGCACAGGTCGAAAGCGAAGTCCATGTAGGAGAAAGCAGCCGACGGGCACCCAGAGCCACACATGCCGACGTCCTTGCACAGAAGAGGACGGCAGCGTAGCGAGACCCCACGGAAACCAAACCGTCACCAGTGGAGGCTGACACCAAGCAGGAGCAGGCCAGGGGCCACCTGACCGCCCATCCCCAGTGTGGTCCTTGCATGGAATTCGAAGCGAGACCTCACGGATCCCTCCTGGTCACCAGTGGAGGCCGACACCAACCAGGAGCAGGTCAGGGCCACCTGACCGCCCGTTCCCAGTGTGAACCTTGCATGGACTTCAGGCTGTCCGAAACCAAAGGACAATCAATGACTGTAGCCTTCTCGCCTTTTCGCTTCGGATAGCCTTCCGAGGCCTCCAGGCAGCTCCAAGAGGACCCATGAGGGCCCCAAGAGGGCCCCAGATAGCCACAAAACGGCCCCAAGTGCGCTCAAGAGCGCTCAAAGAGCGTTCCAAGAGGAGCTCAGGAGGTGAGTTAAGGGGTTCCCGAGGGGGAAGCTAATTAAAGCTCACCCGTCGTTGATTGATCTCCTCCAAGATGGCCCCAGGAGGCGCTCACGAGGCCCCAAGAGGCCCCGAGATGGCCCCGAGATGGCTCCAAGATGGCCCCACGGGGCCCCCAGGAGGCCCCCAAGAGGACCCCAGGAGGCCCCAAGAGGCCCTCTCGAGGCACCCAAGACGCCCAAGAGCCCCCCAGGACCGCCGAGAGACCCCCAAGACGTCCCAAGAGGCCTCCAAGAAACGCCCACGAGATATCCCAAGAGGCTCCGAGAGACATCCAAGAGACCTCTGGCCCGTTTGCTTGTCCTCCTCCTCCTCTTACTCCTCCTTCCTCCTCCTATTCCTTCTCTCTCCTCCTCATCATCCTCCTCCTCCTGCTGCCCCTCCTCCTCCTCCTCCTCCTCCTCCTCCTCCTCCTCCTCATCATCATCATCATCATCATCATCATCATCATCACCATCATCATCATCATCAGCATCCTCATCATCAGCATCAGCATCAGCATCAGCATCAGCATCATCATCATCATCAGCATCATCATCATCATCATCATTATCATCATCATCATTATCATCATCATCATGATCATCATCATCATCATCATCATCATCATCATCATCATCATCATCATCATCATCATCAGTTTCATCGTCCTTCTCCCCACTCCCTCATCCCTCCATCCAGCCTCCTCATTCTGCTCCCTCCTTCGCACGGTTATGCTGTCCACCTCTTTACGCCAGCAATTTCCTGATCACTTCAACTCGCCAGGACATCGTTTCTGGATGGGTTGGTGGGGATACGCGAAGCGTCGCGCATAGTAGTTCTGAAAGTGTGCAGTAGCTTCTGTGTTCAAAACGTGGCTCTCGCGTTGTCGCCGCGCACACGTCATCAAAGCTTGCAATCGCTTCAATGATGAAAGGCAATTCCTTTCCAACAAGTGGTTCCCGCATAAGCGCCGCTTCCTTCCGCCTTGATAGGTTGCAATTGTTTCAAGAATTCGCAGGGGTGGAGTCCCAGAAATTGGGCTCAGGCATGGGCTGGGACTGCTGGGGCACGTTGATTTGCGAGGTTGACATCCCATGAATCGTATTATGGTACACTGTAGGGTTGCCAGGACGCAACAGCTACGTTGATTCGCGGCGCTGAAGCCAGAGAACGTGTTGTTGACGCGATTGTGGGTTCTCAGACGGTTGACTTTCAACGCATGACCTCCCACAACCAAACGACGTTCTTGTAGGCGCCTGTAAAGGAAAAGTTCGGAGGGAGGGTCTATTGCAACATCGCTGAAGCGCAATCGGTTTCACTGGTGCGTCGACCTCGCCCTCCTGCCCGCCCAGAAGCGACGATTCGCTGGGACTGGCGAGTGCGTAGGGCTGACACAGCTCACGCCTCCCCTCCTCCTCCTCCTCCTCCTCCTCCTCCTCCTCCTCCTCCTCCTCCTCATCCTCCTCCTCCTTTTCCTCCTCCTCCTCCTCCTCCTCCTCCTCCTCCTCCTCCTCCTCCCCCTCCTCCTCCGTTCCCCCTCCTCCTCCTCCCCCTCCCCCTCCTCCTCCTCCTCCTCACTCCTCCTCCTCCTCCTCCTCCTCCTCCTCCTCCTCCTCCTCCTCTCTCCTCTCCTCCTCCTCCTCCTCCTCCTCCTCCTCCTCCTCCTCCTCCTCCTCCTCCTCCTCCTCCTCCTCCTCTCCTCCTCCTCCTCCTCCACCTCCTCCTCCTCCTCCTTCCTCCTCCTCCTCCTCCTCCTCTTACCACTCCTTTACCCCCTCCCTCTCTCCTCCTCCTCTCCTCCCCCTTCCTCCTCCTCCTGCGCCTCCTCCTCCTCCTCCTCCTCCTCCTCCTCCCTCCTCCTCCTCCTCCTCCTCCTCTCCTCCTTCCCCTCCTTCTCCTCCTCCCTCCTCCTCACTCCCCTCCCTCCTCCTCCTCCTCCTTCCCTCCTCCCCTCCTCCTCTTACCACTCCTTTAACCCCCCTCCTTCCTCTCCTCCCTCTCCTCCCCCCTTCCTCCTCCTCTGCTCCTCCTGCTCCTCCTCCTCCTCCTCCTCTCCTCCTCCTCCTCCTCCTCCTCCTCCTCCTCCTCCTCCTCCTCCCCTGCCCCACCCACCCCGAGCGACCGGACGCTGTCCTGGCACTCCAACCCTTGCTCTTACCCTCCCCCAAGCGAGGGACCCAGACGCGCCGCTCCTCTCCCAGGGGAGACGGGGGGGAAAGGCCCCGCGGCGCACCTTTTGCTCCAGGCCGTACTGGAAGGCGTCCAGCTTCTGCTGCATCGCCTCGCGCGCGTTCTCAGGAGATCAAGGATGGGAAAGACATAAATAAATGCGTGCCAAACACCCAACCGCACCCGAAGACCCAAATCACAACAGCCCTTTAGGGCGTAGGGTTGTCTAGAGCGCTTCGTCTTCAAACCCCTTTCTTCCTCCCCTTCGGTGACGGTGACCACGGCTCCTTTTTAAAGTACACCCCCTCCCCCACCCAGCCGGCGTCCAACCCATGCCGACTCCATGCGGGCCCGCCCCCCCACCAATACAAACCGCACTCTGCCTCCACATTTGGAGCATGCGCGGCCAACCCGAGGCGCCCCCCCCACCATCTGTCAAAAACACTGCAAAGTACACTTTGGGGCAAAGTCTTGATTCATGTTCGTGAGGCCCGCGAGCACTTTGTATTTGTTTGACAGTGACGGCGGGGTGTCAGCACATTCCCTGCTGTGCGCAGGGCTACCATCCCTGACTAAAAATAATACAACAGGCGCACCTGACGCACTCTGCACGTGCCCCGAACGCGGCACACCTGGCGTGGCTGGACTGTGCGGCACGCCTGGCGCACTCAGAACACGTGGCGCATTTGGCGCACCAGGCGTGCCTGGCACGCTCGGGCTCCAGGGGTGCCTGGGGCGCGTGGCGCCCCTGGCAGGCGTGGCGCACCTCGCCCAGGCGTCGCGCACCTGGGGTCGGCTTTGTTTCCCAGTAGGTGCCCATCCTAAGACGACCGCTCAACATGCCCAGGCTCGGGTGTCACTTGTGTGCAGGGAGGGCGGGTGGGAGTGAGCTAGACGGCTTGCGGGCGGGTGGATACCCCTTCCCCTACCCCATCCCCTGGACCTAGACGGGGCCGGTCGCGAGCGGCCAGTGGGTCCAAAATGGGCCAAAACGGCTCCAAGAGGGCCTCTGAAAACCCGAAATGATTTCCAAGATTGCTCATGATAGCCCGAGATGCCTCAATATGGTTTCCGGGATGCCCCAAGAGGCACACAAGGCCTCCAACAGGCCAAAATCCGTCCCAAATCCTGGAGAAAAAACAATGATTGTCGCCTTCTCGCCTTTCGCTTCCGATGGCCATCCGAGGCCTCAAGATTGCTCCAAGATGGCCCAGGAGGGCCCCAAGAGGAGCCCAAGAGAGCCTCACAACGGCCCAAGAGCGCCCAAGAGCGTTCAAAGAGTGCCCCAACAGCGCCCCAGAAGACATTTGGGGGGGGCAACAGCAATTGGGCAATTTGGGGTTGATGCCTTCCGAAGTGGCCCCAAAAAGCGCCCAAGAGGCCCCAAGAGGCCTCAAGATGTTCCCAAGATGGCGCCAAGAGGCCCCCAAGAGGCCCCGGAAGGCCCCCAAGAGGACCCCAAGCGGCCTCATGGGGCCCCCCAGAGGCACCCGAGACGCCCAAGAGCCCCCCAGGACCGCCCAGAGACCCCCAAGACGTCCCAAAAGGCCACGAAGAAACGCCCAAGAGATACCCCATGAGGCTCCAAAAGGCATCCAAGAGATCTCTGTTTTTTTGTTTGCCCTCCTCTTCCTGCTCCCCCATGCTCCTCCTACTCGGTCCTACTCCGTCTCTTCTTCTTCCTCCACCTCCTCCTCCTCCTCCTCCTCC